CTCGAAACCAATTTTTCCAAACGGCGACATGAACAAACTACTGCACTGCAACATTTCGAGAATAAGCCCGTACACAGGCCCGGAAAGCCTGCAAGACCCCCCTAAACCCGGACACAAACCCCAATCCTGCAGCGGTGCAGCAAACAAGAAGTGCACGGGTGCTGAAAAATGCGGCTCTGCATGCGAAAGTGTCGTTTCCTCGGCGTTCCGTGTCCTGGTTTATCCGAGTCCTGCTTCCGGGGGCCCGGCAGGGAGGAATTCTCGGGAGGCCCGAGGGGTGCTGAGGAGAACCACCACATTCGGAGAAGGCAGGCCACCTCGCAGCCTCCCCCCCTCGGCGCGCCGCCGCAAAAGGGGGTCGCAGTCCAACGGTGTCATCAGCGATGGAGCGGAGACCCGCCCTCTGCCACACTTCGCCAGCCAGCCGTAGGCACTTGGCGGAAGTCCTCGAGTCCTTTCGAGTTCTCTGGAGGTCCTCCAGGGTCCTCAAGGACGGCCCGAAGAGGTCAAAATCATTGATGTTCCTTCGCTTTGTTTTGCCTTGGGCCACGCACCCGCGATTACCATCACGTCTCGAAGGTAAGTGTCGATGCGGATCAGATGGGGTAAAATAATTCTCATGCTCACATCCCGCAGTACCTTTGCCTGTCGAGAAGAGCAGTGGGATAACCATGCCTCGAACAAGAGTCTCTGCTCAAATCCCGAGCACATGAGGAAGGTGGTTGCGCAGCGTGCTGGCCGCCAGAAGACCTTACCACGCCCGAATAGACTCCCCGTATCCTACACTTGGGCTGCGCATGGTCCGAGCACGGCACTGCATGGAGAACCTGCGACCTCTTCAAACTCACTTCGGACAGCCTTTCTGCTCGTTGGTGCAGCACCAGCTTTTCTTATCCTCGCTCCAGCCAGCCTCCCAGTTGGAATAACCTGCGTCACAGTCATACGGCTTAGATGCGGCCTCGACGCAACCCATCTTCTTCTCTGAGCAGCACCACTCCTTCTTGTCCGGCGACCAACCGGCCTCCCAATTCGAATACCCAGCGTTGCAGTCATACGGTTCGGAAGGCGGGGCCGGCGGCGGCGTCGTCTCGACGCAGCCCATGTGCTTATTGGAACAGCACCAGCCTTTCTTGTCCGTAGACCACCCCGCTTCCCAATTCGAATACCCCGCCGAGCAATCGTACGGCTCAGACGTCGTGGCTGGCGGAGGCGGGGCCACAGGAGCTGGCGGTGGCGGAGGCGGCGCCACAGGCGCGGGTGGCGGCGGGGGCGGCGGGGGCGGCGCCACTGGGGCTGGCGGAGGGGGCGGCGGCGGCGGCGGCGGGGGCGGGGGCGGCGGCGGAGGCGTCGTAGGGCACCCCCTGCCAGCCTGCAAGCAGCACGTGACCTTCTTGGATACTTCCCAAGACGGCGGATCACCTTCCGCGCAGTCCAACTTCTTCTCCGTGGTCGTCACCGGCTCCGGCGGCGGGGGCGGCGGGGGCGGTGGGGGCGGCGGAGGCGGAGGCGGCGGTGGCGGGGGCGGCGGCGGAGCCGCGGTGGTGGTTTTCTTGGTCGTGGTCGGAGCATCAGGCGGAGGCGTCGGCGGCGCTGCCAACAGCGGTGGTGGTGGAGTTGTGATGAGAATCGTGGTGGTCGTCGTAGTGCTGGTTGAGCCCATTAGGAACCAGCCCAGCAGCGGGAGTAACAGAAGCGACAGTAGCAAGGGGATCAGGCAAAGGCACAAGCAGTGGGGGCCACGGCGAGGCAGGGGCAGCATACTCGAGATGACCGTCTCCGAGACTGCTTGCGGACCGCCCGCCCCCATGCCAATGTACTTGTACGTCGTTTCCTGCACGTAATCTCCACCAGGCCCCATGTAGGTATGAGTTTGTGGCGGCATGCCGCCCGCGAGACCGAAGCCAGAGGCGCCGCCGTACCCGTAGCCCGCCGAGCCTCCGCAGCAACCCGCGTCGCCGCCGTACGCACCACCGTAACCCGCGCCACCGCCGCAGCAACTGTCGCCGCCGTACGCGCCGCCGTAACCCATGCCCACGCCGCCGCTACCGAAGCCGCTGCCGGCGTGAATCATCCCTGTCTGCAACAAAGAATGGCCAGAATGCCTTGTGCCAAAATGGGCTTGAGCCAAAATGGCTACGGAGATGTTCCTTTGGTTTTTGAAGGGTGTTGGCTGTTGCTCCGTTTCGGCCTTCCGACGGCCCAAGACGGCCTCAGGACGGCCCAAGAGGCCCTCAAGACGGCCCCAAGATGGCCCCAAGACGGCCCAAGAGGCCCCCAAGAAGCCCCAGATGGCCTCCAAGACTGCCAAGATGGCCTCCAAGATGCCTCCAAGACGGCCAAGATGGCCTCCAAGACCGCCAAGATGGCCCAAAGATGCACCCAAGACGGGCCCATATGGCCTAAGACTGCCCCAAAGACCTGCAAAAGGTCTCCAAGACGGCCCAAGAGGCCTCCAAGACGTCCTCCAGGAAGGCCCGACAGGGTCTTAATCATTGATTTTCCTTAGGTGTTTGGAGATTTTGGCTTGTGCTCCTTTTCAGCTCTCTGACGGCCCAAGACGGCCCAAGAGGCCTCCAACATCGACCCAAGAGCGCTCAAGAGGCCTCCAAGATGACCCCATGACACCCCAAGAGGCCCCCAAGAGGGCCCCAAGAAGGCCCAAGAGGCCCCCAAGACGCCCAAGATAGCCTTCAAGACGGCCAAGATGGCCTCCAAGATACCTCCAACACGCCCAATATGGCCATCAAGACGGCTAAGATGGCCCGAAGATGCACCCAAGACGGGCCAAGATGGTCTCAAGATGGCCTAAGACGGCCCTATAGGCCCGCAAGAGGCCTCCAAGACGGCCCAAGAGGCCTCGAAGAAGTCATCCAGGAAGGCCCGAAAGGGCAACATTCAGTGATTTCAGCTTGGTTGTTGAAGGATGTTGGCATGTTCTTCTTATCAACTCTCCGACGGCCCAAGGCGGCCCAAGAGGCCTCCAACATCGTCCCAAGAGCGCACAAGAGGCCTCCAAGATGCCATGACAGCCCAAGAGGCCCCCAACAGGGCCCAAAGAAGAGCCCAAGACGGCCCAAGATGGCCCCGAAGACGCCGAAGATGGCCTCCAAGACTGCCAAGATGGCCTCCAAAATGCTTCAAAGACGGTCAAGCTGGCCCCAAGATGCAACCAAAACGGCCCTGGCCTCAAGATGGCCTTAGACTGCCCAAAAGGCCCGCAAGAGGCCTTCAAGACGGCCCAAGAGGCCTCGAAGAGGTCCTCCAGGAAGGCCCGAAAGGATCAAAATGGCCCCCAAACGGCCAAGATTAGCTTCAGGGAACACCTGCATATGACACAATACAACATCAAGCGAGCCAATGCCGGACAAAAAGCCATGATCCTCGTAAAATGGTTCGAACAACAAATAAGGACCCCACGAAAGATCCCTCAAAGACGGCCCAGGATGGCCTCCAAGACTGTCTCAAGACGCCTCCAAGACGGCCAATATGGCCCAAGATGGCCTCCAAGATGCGTTCAAGATGGCCAAGATGGCACCAAGAGAACACACGATCACTCCACTGTGGCCTCCATAACGGTCCAAACAAAAATGCCTCCAAGACCGCTAAGATGGCCCAATTGAGCCCCAGTGCCTCAAGAGGCTTCCAAGAGGACTCTTCCTCCCTTCCCCTTTTTCCTCACTCTCCTCCTCTTCTCCAACCTCCTCCACGTGTTCCCCGAAAGCGTTCCAAACCGATTCGGGGAACACTCGTTCCGAAAGATTGGCAAGGATCTGACCCAACATTCGGCCAGCAGGTCCCAAGACGCCTCCAAAAGCTCACAAGAGCCTCCAAGAGGCCCCGAACACGCCCATTCCTCACTCTCCTCCTCTTCCCCGTCCTCCCCCACGTGTTCCCCGAAGACTTTCCAAACCAATTCGGGGAACACATGGTCCGATAGCTTGGCAGGGCTCTGGCCTAACGTTCGGCCACACAGGCGCTTCCGAAAGGGCAGGGGGCGGCGGTGACTCGCCGTAGGCGTCTTCGATAATGGGTGGACCTTTGAAAAGGTCAAACGATAATGTGCGTCAACCGAGAACACGCGTCGTGCATGAGCTTCCCGAAACAGCTAGCTGTACGTGTATATCCCTACAAAGGCAGATACAAACCATGTTACTATGCATACTCATGTTTGTACATGTACATTTAAACCGCACACTCCAGAAACGGATGCCAAGACCCCGAAAGCGGTGGCCCATCCTGGTCCACCATTGTGAGCTCCCGATATCGTGGAAGGAGGAACACCTGCTAGGGTCTTCTGCCACAAGGGCGTCATTGTAAAGGAGCCGCCATCCATCAGTCGATTATTGGACGTAGCAGCCTAGAACTGAAACGAACATAATAACATCCGACGATAGTAGCATTGTGAAACGGCCCGCTCTCCATCGACGTGGTCCCAACGTCATCGTGGGTCCATGTAGTGCACGCCCAAGCCGTCGTGGCGGAATGGGGTTGTTCACGGAAACAGCCAGAGTTGGCGCACAGCGACTCGAAACATCACAACCCGAGCCATGGACTTGCTGCAACGCCCGGATCGCAGGGAAGGGCCGAGGAGAATGCGAAAGCTTGAGGTTCCATGGGAGCCTCCGTGGAACCATGCGCTGTCCGACTTGGGCCTGATGTGGGCCAAATTTGGAACACATTTCGGCGGTGGAAAAACCTCCCTTCAATAAACCTCCCCTTAAAGAAAACGGCCTGGGACCGAAACCGACGGACCTGGACCCGCAAAAATGACGGCCGCGACGCCCTCTCGCGAACCGAAAACGGCCAATTCCTGAATCGACGTGTCAGGCTAGGAGGTCGATCCACCTCCGAACATTTGGGACAGGAATATACCAGAAGAACGATAGGGGGAGGGGGAACAGGAAGGGCGAGGAGGAGCAGGAGCAAAGAGGCCAGATGCGGTCCAGAGCGACATCTAGCAACGTCGCCGGGAGGGGTGGTGGAGGAGCCGAAAACCTCGCCTGCGTGCAGCCGATCATCCCGCGGGTGGTGTATCCGGCCTCCGCGAGGTACTGCGTGATCTGGGTGGTCTTCCCGCTGCCCGTCTCGCCGATGACGATCAGGACCTGCGTTCGGAGCTCCAAAGGGGGGGGGAGAATGAGGGGGGGCGAGGACATGAATATTCAATGGGAAAGGCCCGAAGACTGACCACAAAGGAAAGAGCAGGAGGAGGAGGACGAGGAGGAGGAGGAGGTGGAGGGGGGAGGAGAGAGGAGGAGGAGGAGGAGGAGGAGGAGGAGGAGGAGGAGGAGAGGAGGAGGAGGAGGAGGAGGAGGAGGAGAGGAGAAGAAGGAGGAGCAGGAGGACGAGAAGAAGGAGCAGGAGGGGGAGGGGGAAAGGAGGAGGAAGATGAGGAGGAGGAGGGAGAGGAGGAGGAGGCGGAGGAGGAGGAGGAGGGGAGGAGAGGAGCAGGAGGAGGAGGAGGAGGAGGAGAGGGGGAGGACGAGGACGAGGAGGATAAGGAGAGGAGCAGGGAGGAGGAGGAGGAGGAGGGAGGAGGAGGAGGAGGGAGTAGGAGCAGGAAGCTGAGGAGGAGGAGGAGGAGGAGAGAGGAGGGGGGGGCTCAACCGCGCCGCGCCGCCGCCGCCTTGTGAAAAAGAGCGGGCCCGCGCCGAAGTCTCGGGGCACAATCACCCGGCGCCGCAGAATGAGGACGCGCGGTAAAGGACGCAAGGGCAAGGGCTTTGGAGGGAGGGGGAGGAGAGAAGAGGGAGGAGGAGGAAGGAGGAGGAGGAGGAGGAGGAGGAGGAGGAGGAGAGGAGAGGACAGGGAGGAGGAGAAGGAGGAGGAGGAGGAGGACAGGAGGAGGGAGGAGGAGGAGGAGGAGGACAGGGAAGAGGAGAAGGAGGAGGGGGGGGTGGAGGAGGAGGAGGAGGAGGAGGAGGAGGGAGGAGGGAGGAGGAGGAGAGCAGAGGAGGAGGAGGAGAGGAGGGGGAGGAGGAGAAGGAGGAGGAGGATGAGGAAGGAGGAGAGGAGGAGGAGGAGGAGGAGGAGAGGAGGAGGAGGAGGAGGAGAGGAGGAGGGGAAGAGGAGGGGGGAGAGGAGGAGGAGGAGGAGGAGGAGGAGGAGGAGCAGGAGGAGGAGGAGGAGGAGGGGAGGAGGGGGAGGAGGGGAAGAGGAGGAGAGGAGGAGGGAGGAGGAGGAGGAGGAGGAGGAGGAGGAAGAGGAGGAGGATTCGAGCGAGGCTAGCCAGCGAAAGCCGCTAAGGATGGGCCGAAGGGCACGGATGCAAGGGTAGTCTCGGGAAGTTGCCCATCCCTACATCCTTACTCTGCGGGTCGACGGCAGAGGAACCGGGCCAGGGGGGAAAGGAACAGAGGGGCGATAGTGGCAGGGTGCGGGGGGTCCGCTCCTCGTCCTCGTCCTCGTCCCCCTCCTCCTCCTCCTCCTTGCGCCCGCAGGCGCTCCCGCCATCCCGGTCAAGCAGTGGCCAGCATCGCAGCCGAGGTCTCCGCGAGCTCCATCGGTGCGCTCGCCAACCCCAGCCCGAAGACGTGAATGCACGCTTACCTGCACGACCCACCTGCGCAACCTCTTGCATCCCCACCCAAATGCGCAGCACGTGCACACGCTCGTTCTGCTCCCGCATGCCTGGAGGCGGCCACATGGTCAGACCGCGAACCTTGGAAGGGATACGTGCAACTGCCTTAACGTCGGCTGCGGCAAAGTTGAAGATATCCATCGTGATCATGCCGTCTCAAAGACTGTGCTGTGCTACACTGTGCCGCGCTCTGCTGAAATCTACTGCTTCTCACTGTCTTGAAGGGTGCAGTACTTCCTTTGATCATCCAATCGTCCTGGGCGTCCTCTTGACCGGACTGATCTGGATAGCTCTAATTAGATTCTAGATCGAGCTGCGTGAGCCCGTGGCTCCCCCAGAGCTGGCTTCCGTCGAAAAACACTCGGGGCGCTCCAGTTCCAGTCTCTCAAACTGGACAAGCCGCTGGGGGCTGCAGGGCGCGTGGGCGTGCCGCGGGATGTGCGAGGGGCGCACCAAGAGACGCGACATGGGTACGCAGAAGCTGCGCCAAGTGGCGCGCCAAGGGACGCGCCGGGCGAAGGGCCCGTGAAGGGAACGCGCCGGGGGACGCGCCACGGAGCGCGCAGGGGACGCGCCACAGGGCGAGCCAGGGCCCAGGGAACGTGCCACGGGGAGGCGCCAAGGGGGAGGGTCAGGGGCCGCCCCGCGCGACGTGCCAGGTGGACGCGCCAGGTGGACGCGCCAGGGGGTGTGCCATGGAACGTGCCAGCCGAAGGACGTGGGACGGGACGCGACACAAGACGTATGGTGCGACGCGCCCAGGGGACGTGCCACGGGGCGCGTCCGGGTGCGCGCGGGGAGACGCTCCAGGGGACACCGGACGCGCCAAGGGACGTGCCTGAACGTACCAGGGGGCGACCCCTGTGAGTCTTCTCGGCTGGATCTGCGCTCCGAAGGCCTCAAATCCCTTGTACGTGTCACTTGGTCTGCGCTCCCGGAGCCACGATCCCTTGCTTGCCGTCGCTCAGACGTCCATTCCCCGTGCATTTGTCGGATTCGTGCGGGTTTTTCCTTGCGCGATGTTCCAGGATGCTCTTCGCTGGTCCTCGCCGAAGATGGAATGCACGCGCCCGAGCGAGGCCCAGCTTGTGAATCGCACTGGGTCTGGGCTCCCAGCGCCATGATCATCCGTAAGTTGCAGCAGGCCCCCAATCCCAGCGCCAAGGTCCTCTTGAAGACTTCGCCGGGTCCGCCGTCGTTGCGCCACGATCAGCTCCAGAGCGAGCAGAGTCCGCGCGCCCAGAGCCAAATGGCACCGCGAATGCCGCGGAGCCCGCGGTCGCTGGTCCACGGTGCTTTTCTTCTTTCACATCATTAGCGCCGATATCTGAACCAGCACAATTTGTCAAAACAACGACTGCGGCGCATAGAGATCACACAATGCGGCACGATGTCCCTGCCTCATGGCGGCCCGAGAGCCCCCACCCCTCGTGGAGGCTGGTCCACGGTGCTTCGCAAACTACGCTGGGTCCGCCCTCCCAGGGCCTCCTCGGGCATCCTGGGGTGTCAGGGTGTCTCCCGAGCCCCCAACCGGGGTCTCGGCACCGCGATCTCCGGGGAGGACTTCCGCGAGGAGGGCGCGCAGCACCCTCGAGAAGGCACGCACAACCCGTTTGGAGCCTGTGGACTACGTTATTCATGCTGGTCAAAATAGGCGCTAGACACTACACTCCACATGCCTCTAAAAACGGTCGCGGGGGTCTGCGGAACACGTTACCGGCTCAGGAACCGACGCAGGGCTGCACTTTCCTCGAGCAGAATCAAGCGACACACCATGCCTCCACTACCAATCGGTCGGAAGAAGTAGGTGGAAACATGAAGTAGGAAGACGTTGAAAACAGATTGGGTGTCCGCCCGCCCCCTGAAGGGGACGGAAAGGTGGAGCCACTCGGTCATTGAAGCAGGAAGGCGCCGAAAGTAGATTGGAATCTGGAAATCCAGACGTATCCGCTTTCAACGCCAGCCATACTGTGGTGTTGGGTCCTCGTTGTGAAGAGGGAGCGCCCCGCGTCCGTCCTTCTCCTCCTCCTGCCCCCTCCTCCCTCCTCTAAGTATCAGCATCGCCAACATACTCATCAGCATCAGCAGCAGCATCACCAACATCATACTCATCATCACCATCAACATCATCATAAGCAGCATCATCATCCTGATAAGTATGAGGCTGATCCATTATCGTCATCATCATCATCACCATAACAACCAACATCATCATCATCAGCATAATCACCAGCATCATTAACATCAGCATCATGATCAGCAGCATCGTCATCCACATCCTCATCATCATCATCATCCTCATCACCATCAGCAGCATCACCATCAGCATCAAAATCAACACCATCGTCGTCATCAGCATTATCATCATATGAATCATAATCATCATGACATGCATAATCATCATGGCCATCATGATCATCATCATCATCATCATCATCATCATCATACTGACCAGTATCGTCATCAACATCATCATCAGCAGCATCAGCATCATCCTCATCATTAGCATCCTCAACATCTGCATCATCATCAGCAACGTCATCGTCATCATCAGCAGCAGCAGCATCGTCATCATCATCACCATCATCAGCATCATGGGCAGCATCACCATCAGTATCAGCATCAGCATCAGCATCATCGTCATAATCATCATCATCAGAAGCAGCGTCAGCATCAGCATCAGCATCAGCATCAGCATCATCACCATAATCATATCTATATCGTCATCATAATGATCATCAGCAGCAGCAGCAGCATCATCGGCAGCACCAACATCATCATCATCATCATCATCATCATCATCATCATCATCATCATCATCATCATCATCATCATCATCATCATCATCATTCGGGCAATGGCAGAACTGGGTTTAGTGGGACCTGGTTTAATGATGTGTACCCGGGGGCGCTCCCCAGGCCCTGTTCCACTAACCGGAACTGCCGTCACCCGAAAAACACCAGCTACGTACGGCAGACCTGGTTTAATGATTCTGGTCAATTTAGGGGCTCCGGGGCCCTATTACTAACCGGGTCCCCTTACCTGGGGTCCTGGCTATACCCGAATCATCATCGTCATCACGGCCGCCATCATCGTGCATCACCATCATCGTCATCACTCCCGCTTCGGCACGCCACTCATCCACGTTTCGGCACACCCCTCACAAGCTTCGTGGACCCATCGGAGTCCCCACCCAGGTTCCCAGTGGCGCCGCCCACATGTGGGCGCCACCCCCGTTTCAGCATACCCCTCACACCTTTCGTGACCCCATAGGAAGCTCCACCCAGGGTCCCACCGGCGCCGCCCGCATGTGGGCGCCACTCCCGTTTCGGCACACCCCTCACACGCTTCGTGGCCCCATAGGGAGCTTCACCCAGCGTCCCAGTGGCGGCGCCCGCATGTGGGCGCCACCCCCGTTTAGGTACACTCCTCACACGTTTCGTGACCCCATAGGGAGCTCCACCCAGTGTCACACTGGCGCCGCCCGCATGTGGGCGCAACCCCTGTTTCGGCACACCCCTTACACGTTTCGTGGCCCACCAAGGAGCTCCACCCAGGGTCCCTACGGCGCAGCCCGCATGTGGGGGCCAGCTCCATTTCAGCACACCCGTTTCGTGGCCTGTAGGGAACTCCACCCAGGGTCTCAGCAGCGCCGCCCGCATGTGGGCGCCACCCAAGCTTCGGCACACTCCTCACACGTATCGTGGCCCCATCGGAGTCCCCACCCAGTGTCCCAGTGGCGCCGCCCGCATGTGGGCGCCAATCCCGATTCGGCACACCCTTCACACCTTTCGTGACCCCATAAGGAGCTCCACCCAGCGTCCCACTGGCGGCGCCCGCATGTGGGCGTCAACCCTGATTCGGCACACCCCTCACACGTTTCGTGGCCCAACAGGGAGCTCCCCAGGGTCCCACTGGCGCAGCTGTGGGCGCAACCCTCATTTCGGCACACCCCTCACACGTTTCCTGGCTCCACAGGGAGCTCCACCCACCGTCCCCGCATGTGGGCGCCACCCCCGATTCGGCACACCGCTCACACGTTTCGTGGCTCCAAAGGGAGCTCCGCCCAAGGTCCCATTGGCGGCAACCCACATGTGGGCGCCACCCCCGTTGATGCACCCCCCTCACACGACTCGTGGCCCCATATGGAGCTCCAACTAAGGCCCCACTGGCGCAGCCCGCAAGTGGGCGTCACCCCCGCTTCTGCACACCATTCGCACCCTTCGTGGCCCCACAGGGAGCTCCACCGAAGGCCCTGGCGACACAGCCCGCATGCGGGCGTTGCCCCATTGGGCGTTCCACCTCAGATGGTACTCGCTGAGGGGGAGGAGGAGGAGGAGGAGGAGGAGGAGGAGGAGGAGGAGGAGAAGGAGGAGGAGGAGGAGGAGGAGGAGGGGAGGAGGAGGAGGAGGAGGAGAAGAGGAGGAGGAGGAGGAGGAGAGGAGGGGAGGAGGCGGAGGAGGAGGATCAGGAGGAGGAGGAGGAGGAGGAGGAGGAGGAGGAGGAGGAGGAGGAGGAGGAGGAGGAGGAAGGAGGAGGAGGAGGAGGAGGAGGAGGAGGAGGAGGGGGAGGAGGCGGAGGAGGAGGATCAGGAGGAGGAGAGGAGGAGGAGGAGGAGGAGGAGGAGGAGGAGGAGGAGGAGATGGAGGAAGAGGAGGAGGTGGAGGAGGAGGAGGAGGAGGAGGAGGAGCCAGGCGAATTCCTCGTGAAGCGGACACTCGTTGATGCACGAGGGGGCGCCCACAGGGCGGCACCCACGAGCGGGCACGGGCGCCAGCGTGGCGAAACCCTGGGAAAAAAACCTACCCCAACGCACGGTGCGCCCACGAGGCACCCGCGAACGGACCCCGGGTGCCGGCGTGGCGACAGTCCTGGAGAAGCACATCCTGCAAGCGCAAGCGCTGCTTGGGGACATCGGGGATGGACAGACCCCCCTTTCGTAAACCGCGGTCTCGTGAAAACGACCCGAGGCCCAAGCCTGGCGGGCGCAAGCCTGGAAAATAATGGCCACGGCGCCCTCTCGAGAACCGAAAACGGACAACTCACTAATCGACGTGTCACTGTTGGGGGTTCTGTCCACCCCCGAGGAAACGCAACTCCTCACTGCTCCTCCAGAGGCCTCCCAGGTGGAGTCCGAGCAGATAGGTCGGGGGATCGCCCGCATCGCCGATGCATCGGAGACGTCGGCGATAGATCGGCGTGAGTACCTTCGGGCTCCACATCGACCCGCATCGCATATGCATCGGCGATGCGGCGCGATCCTCCGACCACTTCCACTCGGACCCCACCTGGGAGGCCTGGATCCTCTCGTCCGACGCCACGCTCTCTCTTCGTTCCAGGAAGCGCGAGCGGCCTGGTTGTCGTGGATCGCCTGCAACAGCTCGTTGCGAAGCTTGAAGATCGGCAGGCCCTCCCGCTGCTCCTGGCGGCGGAGGACACAGCCATCGTACTAGCAATAGTGACGAAGAAAGAGCGAAGGTGTATGTCTGGCAACGGCGAGCCTCAGCCACGACCGACCAGGTCCCCGACCTAGATCTGGGGAACGGCCGGAACAAGCAGCGCCCCTCCTGAACCCAAAGCGGGCCTTACATCAACGCCTGGACTTTTGGGCACCCGCTGGGAGGAAACGTCTAGAAGGCGCGGGTCCGGAGGGGGGAGGCGAGAGGGAAGCTAGGAACAACAACCAGGAACTCCTCCCACCTCTAGCGTCAAGAACATAAAACATGGACGCCGATGTGTCTCGGGGTTCGGGCCTCTGGAGGCCAGTCTCCTGAGGGTCCCAAGACGGTGCGGTGACCTCGACATCCCGAGAGACTTCAGCGCACGGACCGTCACCGCACCACTTTGGGACCCCGGAGGCCCCAGTCGCCCGAGGCACCCTCGAAAAACGACCCGAGTCCCAAACGCGTGCAGTAACCCC